GGCAAGGGCAAGCGCAAGACTGGAGGCTCCGCAGCGGACAAGGGCAAGGGCATGGGCAAGGCTGGGGCCGCCGCAGCAGGCAAGGGCAAGGGCAAGACTGGAGGTGCCGCGATGGGCAAGAGCAAGGATCCGACGTCGACAGGATCCGCGGCGGGCAAGGGCAAGGTCAAGGACGCGATCTCGAGCAAGGGCAAGGGCAAGGACAAGTCGACTGAAGGCTCCGCAGCAGCGGGCAAGGGCAAGGGCAATGTCAAGGACGCGATGATCTCGGGCAAGGGCAAGGACACGATGATCTCGGGCAAGGGCAAGGGCGCCGTGATCTCGGGCAAGGGCAATGGCTCAGGCAAGGTGCAGAAGACGATCTCGAAAGTTACGATGAAGAGGCCTGCGGAAATCGACCCCGACACAAAGGGAGAAAAACTATAAGCAGAAGAGGAAGAGAAAGAGGAGGAGGTAGACCAGGAGGAGGACTACGACGAGGCCGAGGAAGCAGAGGAGGAAACGCCCAAGGAGCACGATCCAGAGGTTGACGACGAGGACGGCGAGGGGGCAGATGCCGAGGTGGAAGCTCTAGACGAGGACAACGAGGCGCCAGAGGTGGCCCAGGACGAGACCAAGACGTCCTACGTCGGGGAGTCGGGGCAGGAGGTTTGGCTGCACCGCAGGCGCAGGGAGAGCGAGAAGACCACCTGCATCGACTTCAAAAGCTGGGAGCCTGGAGGTTTCAAGCAGTTTGTCATGCTGACGGACAGGATGGCGGAGAAGTGCATGGGCCCGCTAGGCGTCGTCGACGGCAGGGGGGCGTCGCGGCAGCTCATGCGGATGGTTTGGGCCGAGCTGAAGGCCAAGAAGATCACCGACAAAGAGCAGGCCAAGCAGGTCAGGAACCAGATCCTGGCAGTTCACTAGCTCGGCCGAGGAGCTCGCTGATCATCAATTTCGAATAGGGTGGCTGACCGCAAGCTAGCCTGTTTGGCGTGCGGCCAACCTCCGTTCAGGCTGGCTGCTATATTTGGGGGTGCCTGGGGGGTGGGGGATTCGCGTTTCCGCCTCTGTGCGAGGCGCGGGGGGTTAGGCCCCCCGCCGTCCCCCCGTCCAGGGCCTGCCAGGGCGATCGCCAGTTATTCAACCTCGAGCTGGCAGGCCCCGCCCCAGGGCCCCCTCATGCACAGCATTAATGTTGGCTTCATGTTCGGGGGCAGCTTCATCATCGGGAGCGGCTTCGTCTTCGGGGGCAGGGGCGGCTTCATCTTCGGCGGCAGCTTCGTCCTTGACGGGAGCGGCTTCATCTAATTCGTCGTCGGCGGCGGCTTCGTCGGCGGCGGCTTCATCTTCAGCCCCCGCGCGGGCGACGGAATTGCGGTAACGGGGCCACCTACGTATCCTTGTCCCTATCATGTCCTCCTCGATCGTACTCCCTCACCCGTGCTCTGCTCCGCATGCGTCCGCCTTGAGCTCCAGCCTCTCGGTCCTCCACTGCTCCCCTGGCTGGGAAGCCACCCGCCCTTGTTCGTATCGCAACTCGGTCCTCCCCACTCGCATCCTCAATGTGCCTTCCTCCTGTCCTCTCCGTAATCCTCCCTATCGTGCCCCCCCCACTGTTCTCGTCAGTGTCACCCTGATCGTTGGGATGAAAGATGAGCCTCGAGGACGAGGAGGATCGATGATGATCTCAATGAGGAGGGGGAGGAGGAGGGGAGGAGGAGGAGGAGGAGGAGGAGGAGGAGGCGGAGGAGGAGGAGGAGGAGGAGGGCCCCGAATGGGCCTGCTCGAAGGGCCCGCGTCGAACGCCCTTCGGACCCAGGACGATTTCTTCGGGCCCGAGGGCCCCAGGAATGCCCAGAGAGCTCGGTGCCATATGCGCGAATACTCATCTTCGGGGGCGGGTTCACCTCGGACAGGTGCTTCGGCTCTCTCGATCGGGGGTGGCTTCATCCTGGGCATGGGCTCCACGACACCCGCTGCGAGCGACGGAACAGTAGAGGCACCGAGATGCCTAATAAAGGGAGCCCGATTCCTCATTGGTCTTAGCATGCCCTCTCCGATCGTACACGGTTTCATCCTTATAGTAGTCGGCGTTGGTTGCATCTCCCTTGAGCTCCCGACCCCTCGCCCAAACAAATCGGATATGGCCACCGAATGTACCTGGTTGAGTTCGTACACCATCGATGCAGCACACTCGACCGCGCCTTCCCCCCACCCCCTTCCGCCCCCTCCCTATATCGGAACGGGGGCTAGGACCTGGGAGACGATTTCCCACCGTGCTACTGCAGATCCAAGCTCGTGCCCCTCAGCAGTGCCCCCCCTGATCCGAACATGTCAGCCTTGAGCGCTCCCGCTCGAGTCCTCCACCCACCGACCCCATTAGCGTGCACTCAGGGTGTTCATGATCAGCTCCTCGCCCCTCCGCCCCCCGTGCCCAGGTGAGCGGCGCCGCGTTCGAGCTGCGCGGCTGGGCACTTCAGCCAGGAGTCAGCTCGGCGCCGCCTGCCGACACAAGATTCCGAGTTTGGCTTGGCAGTCGGTGAGATGCAGGGGGGTGCAGGCTTCAGATGAGCAGGCGTGAAGATGCAGACTTGGTTCGACGGGCTAGGAGATGCAGCATTGGAGATGCAGGCCAGGGGGTAAGGCTGGATACATATAAATATACAGTAGACTAAGCTGCGGCCACTTGCACAAACGTGCGTGTACCTCGTCGACTCGTTAATGCAACCATGCATCTCTAGACTTCGAGACTTGAAATGCTGGCTCAGGATCGGCAGGCTAGGATATATCGGCTAGGAGGTACACTAATGGATAGGTAGACCATGCAGGCGTACAGGCTAGGCGAGACAGGTACAGATAAGCAGACCATGACATGTAAGTGTTGGCCATGCAGGTGCATGCCATGAGATGCGATGCAGCCCGAGTCAGATTCCTGCCATCTCGAGGAGGATCGATGCTATCAAGGACGAGAGGGCGGAGGGAGGAGGAAGAGGAGGCGCGAGGCGTAGCACCGCTTCGAGTCAGCATGCCTGGGTCGCGCCTGCTCGATCGAGAGCGCCCCATGGTGTCTGGCCGTCCACGCCATGAGGCGGATCTATCGAGGAGGGGGGGGGGGATGAGGGGAAGACTGACTGACTGACTGACGCGCGGCTGTCGGACTGACTGAGGGGACTGGCCACTGCGTCGGCTCCCTTGGGATCGATTCGGCTGGGGCTGGGCGCGGTGCCGTAGGCTCCCTGGGGCTGCGCGCGCGGGACCGACCGTCGGTTCCTAAAGGGTCGAGCCGATTGGGACTGCGCACGCGGTGCCGTCGACTGTGCCGACCGACCCCCATGGGGGCCGAGGGATGCGCGCGGGACACCGTCGGCTCCCAAGGGGAAAGCAGGTGATCGTCGGAGGCTCGAGGGGGATGAGGAGATGGCTGGTCGATGCCGCGGCCGCGACGGTCGACCTCGCATGTGTGTTGTCGAAGTGCCCGTGTCGTGCCCCACGGAGAGCAGGGCGGATGCTGAGGAAAGCGGATCGGTCGGAGGAGGCCGAAGATCGAGGGTGCCAGATCTCGAATCCTCCATCGATTAGTTTGGCACTTGGACAAAGTGCACTTCGACAAGTCACCTGCGAGGTCGACCGCCGTTGCCGTGGCATGAACCAGCCATCGATATTGGCTGGTCGATGCCACGGTAACGGGAATCGACCTCGCAGGTTCTTGGTCCGTGCAGCCCTGTTCTGCACCATGGTGGATCGATGCGGACTCGAGGCGAGATCGATAGGGCGAGGGCGCCGAGGATGAGGATCTGGACGGTGCCACGGCCACTGAGATTGACCTCGCAGGTTCTTGGCCCAGGCACCCCTGCCCTGCCCCTGCGCGCCGCGCTCGCCCGCGGGGCGCCGCTGGACACCTGGCAAAAAGGGGTCGCGAAAACAACGAGCGATTCATACATATATATATATATATATATATATATACATATGTATGTATATATATATATATATGTGTGCATGGACCGATGGGGGAAGGCCTTGAGGGGCCCGTAGGGCCAGGAGGAAGGGGCCAGATGATAGACCAGACGACCGATTGGATGAGCATGGGGGACAGGGGGATCGATCAGGATGACCCTCGATCGACCGATAGTTCGACGATCGAAGGCCAGGGGGGCGCAGAGCCAAGAGGATGACCAGGAGGACGAGGAGACGGAGGACCAGGAGGGCGAGGACGAGGGCCAGGAGGACCAGGGGGACCAAGAGGACGAGGCCGAGGAGGACCAGGAGGACGCAGAGCCAGGAGGATGACCAAGAGGACGAGGACGAGGATCACCCCACCCGTTAATCGAGGGCCCGCGGGTGTGTGATCTGGGGGTTCGCGACAAGGGCTCGCGGACCAGGAGGACCGTTTGGGTGGAAGTCGCGGTGGTGGTGTGGTGGGTGGTGTGGGGCCAGGAGGACCGTTTGGGTGGAAGTCGCGGCGGTGGTGTGGTGGGTGGGTGGGGGGGGGGGGGGCTCGCGGGGGGGGGTGTCTGGAGGTTCGCGGCAGGGGCTCGCGGGCGGGCGCGACCTCGATCGCGCCCACCCGATGCCCCCTGGTCGGGCGGGCGGGGGGGGGGGCAAGAGAGCGCGCGCGCGGCCCAGGTCGACCGGGGCAGCGCCGACGGCGCGCGGCAAGGACACACAAGGCAAGGACTCTACCAGGCGGGCTCTTTCTACGCGCGCGCACGTGGTCCAACGAGGGGCAGGCCATCTGCGTCCGCGCAGGGCGGTTGTCGGGGCGGGCGGCGGCGGCGCGCCCCCCCCCCCCCCCCCCCCCCCCCCCCCCCCCCCCCCCCCCCCCCCTCCCCCCCCCCCTCCCCCCCCCTTGCCCAGCGCCCCAGCCCCCCCCCCCACCCACGCACGCACACACACACACACACACACACACACACACACACACACACACACACCCGAGAAACAAACAAAGAACACGTACCCCCACGTACGTTTCTAATGTTTTAAATGTTCGTAATGGTTTTCCATGTTCGTTTAATGCTCGCTTAATGTTCGCTTCTGTTACTAACGTTTTTAACGTTTTCCATGTTCGTAATGTTTTCAATGTTTTAAGCGTTTTTCATGTTTGTTTAATGTTCGTTTAATGTTCGTTTAATGTTTTTAATGTTTTTGACGTTCGTATTGTTTTTAATGTTCGTAACGTTTTCAATGTTCGTTTAATGTTCGTTCAATGTTCGTTTAAGTTTTTTCTAATGTTTTTAATGTTTTTCATGTTCGTAACGTTTTTAATGTTCGTAACGTTTTAAATGTTCGTTTAATGTTCGTTTTAGTGTTCGTTCAATGTTTTTTCAACGTTTTTTAACATTCGTAATGTTTTTAATGTTCGTTCAATGTTCGTTTTAATTTTCGTTCAATGTTTTTAATGTTTTTCCACGTTCGGAACGTTTTTTAATGTTCGTAACGTTTTTAATGTTCGTCTAATGATTGTTTAATGTTCGTTTAAGGTTTTTCATGTTTTTTTAGCGTTTGTAATGTTTTTAATGTTCGTGGCGTTTTCAATGTTCGTAACGTTGTCAATGTTCGTTTAATGTTCGTTTAATATTCGTTCAATGTTTTTTTACTGTTTTTGACGTTCGTACTGTTGTTAATGTTCGTTTAATGTTTGTTTTAATGTTCGTTTAATGTTTTTCATGTTCGTATTTTTTTTTAAATGTTCGTAACATTTTTAATGTTCGTTTTTAATGTTCGTTTTCATGTTCGTTTAGTGTTTTTCATGTTCGAAATGTTTTTAATGTTCGTAACGTTTTTAATGTTCGTTTTTACTGTTCGTTTACTGTTCGTTTAATGCTCGTTTAATTTTTTATAAAAAACAAATGTTTTTAACGTTTTTCCTGTTCGTGACGTTTGTCATGGTTGTAGC